CAGCTGCCTCCCCCCCTCCAGCTCCCAGAGAGACCCCACGCCAGCCCTGGAGGGTAGGACTCCTCCCACCCCAAGCCAGGCTGCCATTGTCCAGAAAACACTGGGGCTGATGGGGAACGGAGTCCCTCCCAGCCCGGGAGACGTTACCTTGGATGTGATAGAGAACAGCTGCCTGCAGGTCGAACTCCCCCCAGCTGGCTTTCCGTTCTAGACCGCCGGGGTGCCTCTGCTCTTTGGTGGAGACTAACAAAGTGTTCGTAGGAGAAGACAGATGGCTGTCTACGCGGTAGTCCTTGGCGAGGAACACAAAGGCCCCCGGGCCCCCGAGCTCCGCCTGGGGCAAGGCCCCCGGCAAGTGGGCCTCTAACGGCAAGTCGCTCTCCTCCCCAGCGGCCTCCAGCTTTAAGAGTCCGCCCAACAGCTGGGGACTAGTCCGTTTGGCCAGCTCGTAGGCCTTGGGGAAGGCTGGCTGTTCGGGTCCAGCGGAAAGCGTCTCCGCCTCCTGAGGAACCGGCGCGGCGGGGCACGGGCCCTGGAAGGTCACCTCGGCCACCTTGGTGTCCGTCGGCTTCCGGGGCGAAGTCTCCGGCCCCGCGTTGGGCTCGTTGATAAAGGATAACCCCCACTGGTTCTGGAAGATATCGCCTAAGTTTTGCTGCGTGGACAGGAACGGAGACTCGGCCTGGGCCGCCACGCTGAACAGGCCATGCATATTTGACGGGTAGATGAAGAGACTCGGCTTCTGCGGGTCCATGGCGACCGCGGAGGGACCCGAGTCCTGGGCTGCCAGTTTGGAAGAAGCCGAAAGGACAGTACTAGCAGCCGGCACCAGCAGGGCCTGGACGCCGGTCGGACACACCCCACGGTCAGCCCCGGCCAAGATGGGGCCGTTGGAAAAGCTGGCCGATGTAACAGACTTCATGGCGGACATGGGGACCTGGGAGAGGCGGTTGGGGGCCTGGACTTGGACCTCGCCCACAGAGGATGAGCACAAGGAGGAGGAAGAGGAGGAAGAGGAAGAGGAGGACAGGGGAGCCGCCTTGTTCAGGTTCTCTTTCACTTTGCTTGCATAACTGATTTTGGGGACGATCTTGGCGCTGCTGTTATCCACGGGGAAAACCGGGGGCGGCTTAAACAGGGTCCAAGAATCTTCCTTCGAGGACGATCCCAAGACGTGCTTCCCCTTGGGACGCTCCTCAAACTTTTTGCCGGCCAGTCCGACTTTGGCCTCCGCCGCCTTCCGGAGCATGTCCCCACCTCCACCTGGCTTCCCGTGGCCCACCCCCGGCCCGCCCGGCTGCTCACACTTCCAAGCAGGTTTCAGGTCAGCCTTCGAGTCCCCGCCGTCGGCCCTGAAGGAGTCGGTCTCCAGCTTCAAGGCCGGGACGGGGCTACATGACACAACCTTCTCCTGGCCCAGGCTCAGGTTCTCGCAGCCCTTGGCGCTGTTGCGCCGGCCTTTCCGTTTCTTGGGTGTGGTGTAGCCGCTCTCTGAGCCACTGCCGTCGTTGTCCGCCCCTTTGCCGGTGCAGCCGTTGGCGATGTACTCAGAACCGTCGGCCACGAGGCCGTTGGGGACGGGGTGCATCTCGCCTTTGTCCCAGGAATGGCCCTCTCCGGCTCGGCTCTCGTGGCATCGCTCGTTCTTCCTGTCCAGGCTGTTTTTCAAGCTAAAGGTCTTGGTTCTCAGACCGGCTTTGACAAACATGCCGCCTTTTGCCGTCTGCTTGAGCGCCAGGCTGAGCTCCCGGCCGGGCTGGCTGCCGTTGGGAACCACGGAAACGGGGCCAGGCAAGTCACGGGCAGCAGGAGATGTCAGGAAGGGGTCTCGGTTACCAACAGTCCCGTTGAGTTCGCCATAATCTGCAGGAAAGGAACAGGGGAAGATTAGAGGTCTCCAACGCAATCTCTTGCTTGAAGGAGGCATTCAAAAGAGCCCACCCCAGACACACCCCAAATGCCAAAGGCCCTTGACACCCCAAACTGCCCCATGGATGCTTGCTGTGGAAGCAATTTCCTCCTGGGTGCAAGCCTACTCCACCACTTTTTTGATGGCGTCACTCAAATTCAGCCCAGGCTGCATCCAGGACAGCCCGAGAAGAAGGAAGAGGTTCTGACAGACAGGAAGGATTTTCATCTGCCAAGGATCTTCTCCTGCAAATCGGGGCCGATTCCGGAGGATGCAGATAATAAATTTCAAATAAAAAGATAAAATCTGGGCTCCCAACAGCCGTGGAATCCTCAGATTCACAGACCTGAGAGGATGCCGGAGGAAACTGGGGGTGTAGAGACAAGATTCGCACCCCGAAGGAGCAACACGATCCCGGTGAGGAAAAGCTACGGGACAGTGAGAAAAGGCTCGTGTGTTTCTAGCAACAGCAGACAAGTCACAACACCTCATTTAGTGGCTGTTCGAAGTTCCCAACGGCCCTGAAAAAAAGTGACTGACGGCTGCTTTTCACACTTACAAATGCCGTGGTTCTGTGATCAAAATTTGTTCAGAGTATTGCAGCGTAAATTCAGCGCCAGAAATAAACACAGATGACTGAGGCTTCATTTAACTTCTTTATAAACACAAAAAGTAAATTTTACAATACCAGTTGTAGATTTATCTAACACGGAGCAAACATGTTACAGGTTCAGAGCAGAACAGCAACTCCGCTCAGAAAACGGACTTCAGTTTCACTTTAGTTCAGCAGGCAAGAATTACACACAGCAGAGAGAAGCAGTTTCATTTTCAATAAGACTCAGAGCTCAACACAGCTTCAGAGCTGCAGAGTTTAATATAGACCCATGCCTAGGCTACTTCTAGTTTCAGTTTCCAAACAGTCCTCATTGGCTGACTTAGTTGCTAGGCTTATTCATTGGCTGACCTATTCCAGTTCATGAATATACTCTGACAGACGCTTGGCATTTTTTATGGTTTGGACGTGACTTGTAGTCACAAAGCCTGAATCGCGAAGCTCCCGGGAGGAACTTTCTAGATCGTGAGCCCTAAAAAAAGAAATTATTTTGGAGAAGGATCAAATCCATTCTGCTGATTATAAGGTGAGCTCCGCCAGCTGGGGAATTCTGGGAATTGAAGTCCGCCCGTTTTTAAAAGCTTGTGAGACGCCCCAGCGCTTTCGGAGTTTGGAAGCCACGCTGCCGTTGTCTCCTCTTCCAAAGGGGTTGGGCTACAAAGTCCATCATCCTCAACTGCTGCCAGGCTGGCAAGGGATGATGAGAGTGGGAGTCTCGATGCTTTGGGAGAGCCCCAAGTCAAGGGATATCACTTTGAGTAGTACAGAAAGTCCGTAAAACATCATTAGGGGTACCAAGAGACGAGAATATTTGTAGCTCAGGGTTGACATGAGGGGTCCTTGGTGCTCTCTGAGCTTGGTGGTTTTCTTGCAGACGTTTTGTGATCCAACTAGGGGACACCATCAGTGCTAGAAGGGAGGGTGGTTGTGGTGGTGGTGGAGGAGGAGAAGGACTGTGAGGTCCTTTGCTCTCTGAGCTGGGTGGTTTTCTTGCACTGATGATGTTAGTTACTTTGGTAATGAAACATCTGCAAGAAAACCTCCAACCTCAGAGAGTAGCAAGGATCCCACAGTCCTTCTCCTTCTCCCTACAACCCCCCTCTTCTAGCACAGATGATGTTACCTAGTTGGGTCATGAAATGTTTGCAAGAAAACCACCCAGCTCAGAGAGCATCAAGGACCCCATAGTCTTCCTCCTCCTCCTCTTCTCCACAAACTCACTCTTTTCTAGCGCTGGTGATGTGACCTATTTTGGTAATGAAATGTCTGGAAGAAAACCACCCCAACATTTCCCCCAAAGAGAAGCAACTGATGAGACTTCATCCAAGCTTTGGACTCATTTGGCTAACCGCTAGGATCTTCTCAATCAATATTTTCATGAGCTACTTTAACAGTTTAAGGACTTAAGCACTCTGGATCAGCAATGACCTCACCTAAATAATCAGCAGAATTTATTTGATCATCCCCTCTCCCAATAATTTTTAGAGCTTGCCGTCCAGCAGGTTCCCGGGCGTCCTTCATGATTAGCTGTTTATTATTTCATGAGACTAAAGTCACTTCCAGCCATAAAAATGTTCTCCCAAAGGCAGGAGATGTCCTAAGCCAGTCCAAAACGTGACATTTGTGTCGTGACAATTCCACATGGAAACCGGCCATAACGTTAGAACTAAACTTAGGACAGGCTATTTAATTATTTTCTTCATGTGTTTTTTGTCTTAGGCAAAAATCCAGCTGGACAAGAGTCTCTTCAAAGCATCAAGTTCCACTTAACCAATATAATTCATGCAGCTGTGCAGCATATCCTTTGTAAAAGGAACAAGCTTTGCCAAATTTTCAGGAAAGGGTCTTTTTTTGTTATTTTCTGGGGGGGGGGAATGCTAATTAAGACATTGTAGGAAGGGAGCGGTGTTAGCCCAAACCCAGGATCTGCTAGCTAGATCCATTTTCATCTCACAAAATGCCATCAAAAGCCAGACATCTTTCGATTCATACAAGTAGTCCTCAACTTACATCCATTTGAAGTTACAGTGGCACTTTAAAAAGTGACTTATTGGTCACCTGACCAAAATTCAGATGCTAGGCAACTGACTCATATTAATGAGGGATCCCCTTTTGGGACCTTCTGCGAAGCACATGGGGAAGCCAGATTCGCTTAAGAACGTGTGACTAACACTGCAGTGATTCACTAACCTCTGTGAGAAAATAGGTTGTAACATGGGCAAAAACTCACTTAAGAAATGGCTCACTTCGCAACAGAAAGTTTAGACTCCATTGTGGTTGTAAGTCAAGGAAAACTTGAACTGGGAAACTCTTCATAACTGAGCCCAAACTGGCTGAAAACGATAAGCCACAAACCTGGTTGACAAACCACAAGTGGGCTGGTTCACACAAACATGAAGAAAAATAAACAGGCCATTACAACATTCAGTGCAGTGTGCGAACCAGGTGGCACCCGAATTTCTTCAGGTGATCTTTGCAACAAAGCAAGCTCTTTCGACACACGTTTGTGGCCTCTTTTGAGATTTAGGCGCTGGTGCTAACCACACAAATAAGGACCCACCGATTCCTGACCAACAATGACAACACAGCACAAGGGGTGACAGGCTTCCAAGCTATACCGGTTGGGTCTAATGCAATGTTTTTTCAAATTTTCAAGTATCTGGTCTGGTCATTTTATCACACAGCCATCTTGCAGTTTAGTTGTGTCCAAACTGGATGTGTGCAACATGTTGAGTTCACAAACCCTTGCCGTGCATAAAACATGCTCTACCTGCCCCCCCAAAGGGTCACCTGGCTGCAAAGGCTGCAATTCCTCTTCCCCACCCCCATGGCAACTCCTGATGGGTTCCTATAATGCAGGGTGCTCCAAACTCGGCAACTTTTAAGACTTGTGGACTAACAACCAGGACTAACCAGGGAATTCTGCGGCTTGAAGTCCCCCAAGTTTTAAAAGTTCAAATTTGGAGACCTCTACCTTAATTAATTGACCAAACTCTTGTTAAGAGAGCTGAATGTGCTGGTAGCCTGGGATATCGTTGGCTGGCTAGGGGATTCTGGGAGTTGAAGCCCACCCCTCTTAAAGGCACCGAATTTGTAAAAAAAACAACAAACTGGTCTAAGCCCAGGAACTTGGTTGGATCTGTAGTGGCAAGAATCCATTCCACTCCATGAAAAAAAGGGGGTGGGAAATGGAGACCCCAACCCCCTTCTAGAAGGATGCAACTACAAGTCCCATGTTCAGCTGCTAGTGAGGACGATCCAGCCTACTTGGGACAAGTGGTGTAAAAAAGCCCCAGGACTAGAGAAAGCCAGGACCAATAAAACAAAATGCCCGGTGCTGCGGTCACACATGGATTCCCTCCTTGCCCCCTGACCTCAGGCATCCTCCATGGGGCTCACCTTCCCCATTTCTACCCCCCAATGAAAATTGAGCCCGTCATGCCAGAAGGTTTATTATGGCTCCGGTTGGGAGATTCGAAAGGCCGGGCAAGGGACTGGTCATCTTGGAGGAGGCCTGTCCAGAGTTTCACAGCTTTGGTAGTTTTAAGATGGGTGGGTGGACT